AGCGGAACACTCTGCTTCGAGCTTCCTTCAATCGTGGATCCGGTACTGCGGCAGGTCGATCACCTGGCGCGTACGGTGGCCCAACAGGATTTTAATTCTGCGTGTGGATAAATGCGTAGAGAATGGGGTGAACTTACGGTTAAGCCGTGGAGCTTGTCACGGGGTCACGGTATCGAATCTTCTTGAGGGTTAGCTCGCAGAGTTTCCCCGAAACTTTCATCTGCTTATTCTGGGAAGACAACGAATCTCCCCACGACAATCAATCTACCATATTATCAGTCAAAAGCAAATGGTCTTGGTGAAAAGTCTCGATTCGAGTCCATCGCGTCGGGCGGTGCCGAACGCGTTAGAGGCCCTGGCTGGGCAGAAACGTATGACAACCTCAATGAGGACAAGGTCGGCCCCAAGATTCATCATCTCCGGACATTTTCCTATTTAGCATTATGGCCCCATCAGTCCCACTACTGTATAGCAAAGGGATCAAGAAGGTCTGAACAGTCGTTTATACAAGAGTTCATGCCTTGTACCGGCACCCAGAACTCGATAATACCCCCAACGCGAAGTCTTACTCTGACGGGCTTACACGTACTACGGTAGTACGCGCCATAACCGGAAAAGAAAGAAATTGTCGGGGAAATTGGGACTTTATCAGCCTTGGAGAAAAAAGAGCATGGATGCAAGTTATGCCAGCAAAACGAGAATGAGTGATGGGAAAAGAGAGAGACACGGTGTTCAAGGGAATAATAAAGGTCTGCACTTGTTTTAATTTATCCCCGCAGCCGCCGCGAGTCAAAGATCCGATCTCGAACATCGAAACTGCCCGATGATCAGGCCAAAGCCACAAAATTTGTAAAATTGCTTTTTCATGTCATACTTGTGAGCAAATCTCTTTCAAAATCACATTCGGCGGCCAACGCTCTTTTTCGATTTCTCAACGCATAGTGCTGGTGGTGCTCGTAATTGCTCGCACGCTGTCTACTTTGGCAAACGCAAAATATCCATCATGTCTTCAAATGCTTCCAAGGCTGGTGTCATGGCTTCGTGGCTCTGTTCCATGAAATCCAGTGCACCCCCTCCGTTTCCAAATGAAGCGAAATTATTGCTGTAAGCTGTAGGTGTGAAAACCACCCACAGAATGGTGGGTTTAACAAATAATTCGATGGGTGAGATAGGAACAAGACTTACACGGGTTATCACAACATGTCAACCTTCTTGCCTCTCGCGTTTCATTTTTGCACAAGCTCGCATCTGTTCTTCCTTCACTTTCTACTTTTGCCAACTTCCCGAACTCTACTTTTCGTTAATGAAGCAAACCGTTATGCATGTCACCTTGAAAATCTATGATGTCCACCCTTCCTCCTTTCACCTGCACCGTCATAACCCATTCGCTTCTATTTATGATCTTCTCCATGCATTCCCATTCTCATACATCCAATAAAGCTCGATACACTCATTTCGTCCTCCCACCGTCATTGCCACCTTCCGTCCTTTCTTACCGAGGAAGTCCGCGTTCTTGATGCCGTCCAAGACGCGCTGGGAGGCATCCACGAAATCCAGCACGTCTCCGACCTGACAAGAGGGGAAGAGGAGGGCGAGAGAAAGACAGACGGAGTCAATTCCTTAAGTGGATAGTGGCCGCACCAACGGGCAGCAGGGCTCGGCAAAGCGTCGACAGGATGCGACAACAGGACGGCCTA